TGAGCGAGTGGGTGGTTGGATGGATGATCAAGTGGTGATGGATGAGTTAGCGGGTAGGTGGTTGAATGGGTGAGCGGGTGGGTGGTTGGATGGGTGAGTGGGTGGGTGGTTGGATGGGTGAGCAAATGGGTGGATTGATGGGTGAGCGAGTGCAGTGCCGGATAATTCGAGTAGCAAAAGTAGCATATGCTATGGGCCCCGCACTTTCAAGGGTCCCGCGCTAAATGCTTTCAAACTATCAATTCCAGTTCAGTGATTCCGCACTTGCTCTATTACTATACTACTATACTGCCTTCAACTTTTATGAACGACTAGGTGTTTAAGGTTAGCGATTTGTCATATTATCTGTCTGCATAGCAAATGAAAAAATACAATGGCTTTACTGTGCAAACATTTGTGTTTGAATGCTTTTTTTATTTAGCGCCACTTTATAACATACGCCCGGGGGGGAAATATATTTAAAAACTTCTCTTAAAAACATAACATATACATATCTAGTGTACTAATTCACAAACACTAGTAGGAGGTAATCTTTGTCTTTTATTCCGGCCTTCACAGCCTTAGGGGATAACTACATACCGGGTCAGGACAGCCAACATGCTTGAAGAGGGCGAAGATCACGACGACAATGGCACGACGAGTTCCATTCCAGATCGCAGCAGCCCGACTGTGAGTCGGAGCTCGCCTTATATCCTGCCCAGCGTGGCCAGGCTCCGGCTTCGGCGCCGCACCCCTCTGGATCCCCCAGAGGGCTCCGTGCCTTGCCCACAGGTCCAACTGGTAGAACGGGCTGACACCCCTAATTCCATTGTCTACCAATCTCCTAGCGGCATGCGCTACAGTGACTCATTCAATGGAGCCATCCCGGCTGACCTCCATACGCCGCGTAGCAGGACGATGAACACCGCAATATCCACGCAACACAATCCAGCCCCCAAAATAACAGCAACCCAACGACGAGTAGGGGCGGTCATCTGAAGTGAACCATCTCGGAATCGGTCCTTGTCGGCGGCCCCTCGTATGGGCCCGGCATGGGTTCCCCAGGAACCCCGGGGGTTACTCGCAGCTGGCCCAACAGGCGCAGTCCCCCCCGGGACAAAGATTGAGTAGAGGAAGAAGCTGGTGGCAGTTGTACCATCCACCCCGGTCCGCCTATGGGAGGCACCTCCGGCGGTTCCATTGGCGTCTAGCCCTGGGATCCTGCGGATGGAGGAACAGAGTCTCGCAGAGGCGCAACCTCCCTAAACATACGTCTGTCCCCTCGGACACATCACACACCCAGCCATAAGATGAAATTACCTCATAAGGTGGAAAATATGGTTTCAGTCGTGACGGGTGTACATACCAATGCCTGCGACCAACTTGTATTCGTACACACTGTGGGGCTCCTAACCTCAATTACCTCCAATGGGCCCTGCCATGGCCTATGTAATTTAGGAGATGTGCCCACAGGCACCTGGGGGCAATGTAGCCATGCCCTCTCCCCAGGTTTCCACGATTTCCCTGATTCCTTGAGCCCAGCCACTTTTTCATTTTCAGCCTGCCGTTTGGCCGAATTTCCCTGGGATGGCCTCCCGTGCTTCCATCAACCGCATTAGGGTGAGGCTCATCAGTCCCGGCACAGCAACTCTCTTTTTCCTTGGCTCAATATTTAACTGGGCTTCCATGGGGGTTCGCATTCTCTCCCGTGCATGAAAAAAAAAACGGGGAGCATCCGGTAGGGGCGTGAGGGCCCATCCTATAGGCCACAAGAACTCCCGGAAGGTGTAGGTCCCAATCGGACTGTGCCTTGTTGATTTATTGGCATAACATTGACGTAAGTGTCCTATGTAAACGCTCTACCATCCCGTCAGTCTGAGGATGGTAGGGAAAGGTTCGAATTTTCTTAATACCCAACAAATCACATACCTCTTGCAACAATTTTGAAGAAAAATTGCAGCACTGGTCCGTAAGGAGACATTTCAGGGTCCCCTTATCCAATACATAACCATGCAGCAACGCATTCATAATGGACGCCGCCGACTAATCCAGTAGGGGCCATGCCACCGGCCACCATGACAGGTACTCTACCCCTACCAGCAATAATTTATTTCCCCTGAGGAGCGCTGGGAAATGGCCCAAGGATGTCGAGGGCAATTCATCTCTTTTCCATACCTGTCACTTCACAAAATAAGCTAAAGTAAGTTTTACTCATCCCATCAGCTACACGGCCTTCTGTGAGTGCATGTAGCATTGGTTCAACACCAGAAAAACTCTGGACCGGTTTGGACATTTAGCGTCTCATCAGCGGAGTCATTCTTGCTTGAACCCAGCTGGTGAACTGCCAGATATCATAGGCAAGGATCCACATTAAGATACGGTTTCAAATGCTTGTGTAAAGACGCAGACGATGAAGTACTAGCAGCCACTTTTATTAACGCCACAATCTAGGTCCGGGCTTGGTGCTTAATCTTGTAGCTGTACTTTCCCTCGAACGTCCCCTCCCCTTGTGCTCTGCTCTTTTATACCATTCCAGTCCCCTTTCTGGAATTTTCCCTCGCTGCGTTTCTCTTAGCCAATCGCTGTCCTTTCCCCCGAACGGATCCCAACCATCGGCTTTGGGTTCCACTTTGTTTCCCGCCATTTCTCATTCAATCTCTTGTCCCCCAATCACTTCAAAAGCCCTGCCTCCCGACCAATCCCTGTGGAGGCCTCTTCCCGACAATCAGAGACCTGCGGGTTTATCTTTGAAAAGTTGCACATTGGCTTGTATTTGGAGCGACCGATCTCTATTGTCCCTCACTAAGCACCTCCCCCCTCCCTGTGCTCAGTCGTGTCTCCGTTCCTTTTCCCTCCTGGCGCCACCCCATTGGAATAAACTCTCACTCCACGTCAAACAGGGCAACTTCACTCGCCATTTTTCGTTCCTCCCTTAAGACTCATCTTTTTTTAACAGTGTATCCCTCTACTACTTCCTGTCCTCATCCTAAAAACCTTAACCATCCTCCCCTCTTCCCTCTCCTAACCTGGCCTCCCTCCCTTCCCCTATCATCACCATTCCTTGCCATCTCTTACCTTCCCCAACACTTAAACCCCATTCCTTTTCCCCATCAGCTAATACTAATGTACAATATATAATTATTGTAAAGTGCTTTGATGAAAGCGCTTTGGTAAAAGTGCATATATCAAAGTGCTATATAAAATCCTAGGTAAGATAAGATTTAGGAGGGGGGGTAAAAGTACATTTTAACAGGAGATGTGCACAGCACAGCGATAACTACATAATACTCAGTCACGGGCGGAGCTTTTACAGCCCGAGTTGCATAAACAGTGGAAACCTTTGACTGGCACCACATTTAATGATGCAGTGAGAGCCCTGGCTGACATCACAGGGGGCGAGGGAGAGCGGTGCACGGCAAGAGCGGACAAGGCTCCGTTGGCAAGCAAGCCGCGCAGAGCGTGCAGAGAGTGTCAACGTGAAGGCGGGACAGAAACTGAAGCAGAGGCCAGGAGGACGAGGAGGAGGAGAAAGAAGAAGAAGAGCGCTACAGCTGAGGGCACTCAGCGGGTGGCGGTTGTGTCCAGGTAGAAGAGGGGATGGCGGGGTGCAGGGAGACGGGAATGCGGGGGGCGGTGGGGGCAGCACACGCAACACTGTGAGATGCGTCGTGGGTGTTCACGTTTGTGTGAAGTCGTTGACTCGTGATAATAATGATGTGACCATTCACCTCCGACGAGGTCGTTAATATCGACCCAGTGCGGACGCAATGACGATGGTGATGCACTCCCAGAAGAGGGTGAATATGCCCTCCTATTTGTGGTGTGGAGGAACAGATATGGACTAGAGGCCGTTTTAGACTTCTTGTTTGTTTGAGCGGCGCTCTTTGCTTGCTCAAAAAATGGAAAAAAATGGCCCTGCCGCGTCTCCGGCTGCGCACAAAAAAGAGATCCCGCTTCTGCACTCCTCGGGACGCTGCAGGGAGAGTCGTGACATGACGCCACGGCAGCGCATTAGCATAGGGCTCCACTCGGCTTCCCGAGCCACGCCACGCAGAGCCACGGGGAGCTACGCCACGCTCGATTGAGCCTGCCTCCAGGTGTTGCACTCTGCAAATTGCTTGCGCTAATTCCAAAGAAATGTACTTGCGGTGATAATTCGTTTAATTGCACCATAATGTGTGCTTCTAAAGCTATCTTTTCGCTGAACATTATACATGCACTCTTCTTTTCACGGTGCGGAAAAACGTTGCAAAGTTGTATAATATGTAATGAAATATGTGTGAAGTGCATCAATAATTTAGCCTTGCGTACCACGTTTGCTTATTATCATCCACAGTTTCGGTCAATTTCAGGCAATTTCAGTAAAACATCAAATATCGAAGGTGGCAAATATAATCGGTTTCAGCCTCCAAAATCCTTTGGAAGCCGTAACTTGCCAGCTTTACTTGAAAAAATTCCTCCAAAAGCTTATGCAACAACATTTATGAGTAAATTGTCCTCGTCTAATGTGGGAAGGAGATGATGGTGATGTGTGCTCATGTAATATTGAACGTGGCAGCGCAAGCTTTGAATGTTCTGTGGAACTTGTTTTCCGATCCCACTATTGATCTATCACAGACCTTTTTTACAAACCCTTTTAATCTGTCAACCACCTTTGACTCTCTATAAATGAGTAACTTTTGCCTTTAGATTAGGGCAAAGTCACGTGTAACGTAAATAACGATGACTTAGAACAACATGGTACTGGCAGCGCTGTATTTCACTGACGGGTAGAGTCTACCAGTAGGGTGGCCATGTTAGTGCTGTATAATCCCATTTGAGATTGGGTTTTTTTTCTAATTTAGACCGTGACGTGAACACGCAATGTCCTAATAATTTCGATTAACGTTGGGGGCATCTTTAACGCTCACCGTTAAGGCAGACTCAGCATGCGTTTAGGGTGAGTATACCTCGAAGGATTAATCAGGGTGGCCTGCGGCATTCACGCCACACGAGCGGTGAACGCGCTGCCACTGAGCTGCGTCGTGGCTCTGTGTGAAGTTCACAAGTGCCCCGAGGACAGTCTAGTGTAGTGTGCTAGTTGGTAATGACGCTCGACGAGCCAGCCAGCTTATCTGCTGCTGTTGCTGCTGCACGAGGGTGTCAGCGCCTGTGCTGCATGGAGAGCCCTTGCGTGGGCGCGCCCACCCTGGGCTCTGCAGATCCTTGACCTCCCAATTCACATCAACGGACAGCTGGGGCAACCTACCTGTGCTACATGTAGTTTTCCGAGCAGTGTCGTAGGAGCATCACCACCGTTAACCCTTCACTCATCTGTACTGACCACTGAGTGAGTGTTTATATACAGAGTGTGCGCCAAGTGAGTGTTCATGATGATCGCGCGCCCGGTGTGAGGTGCAGAGGTCTTTAGGGGCACGGGGTGGTGGCGTGACATAAATGGCCCGGTGCTAGTGCGCCGTCGCAGTGACGTGCTTAGGTGCAGAGTCCGGGTTCAGAGGGAGCGGAGCGGGCACCGCAGTGGCTGAGACGCGGAGGAAGAGACCAAGGCCGAGAGGCAGCGGGTGAGCGAGCTCGCATGCTCACCGCCATCCCATGCTTGTAGAAGGCGGCAGTAAGTTTAGGAGTTGGATGCGAATGTCGGGTTTGCTCGTCACGGCAAAAGGACTCCAGGAGAGAGTTCGTGTAGCTTTGCTCATCCATCTCCACTGAAGGAGCACAGGCTACATTGGTTTACTTTATGGTCCATAGTTTGAGTTGCATTGCCACAATCGCACTCCCGTGGCTTGTCTTTAATTGTCCATTCACGACGGAGACGTGTGCATCGGCCTGTTGGTGTTTTGCTGTGGTTGTGAGCTGTTTAACGCGCAGTGCAGGGGGAGCTGTTTAAATACGAAGTGCAGGGAGAACTATTTAATTCGCAGTGCAGGAGGAGCTGTTTAAATCGCAGTGTAGGGGGGGGGCTGTTTTATATGTAGTGCAGGGATAACTATTTAATTTGCAGTGCAGGGGGAGCTGTTTAAGGTGCAGTGTAGGGGCGCTGTTTATTGTGCAGTTGCAGGGGCGCTGTTTAAAGCGTAGTGTGCAAGGAACGCTGTTTAAAGTGCAGTGCAGGAGGCGCTGTTCAAGGGCAGTGCAGGGAGCGCCGTGCAGTGCAGGGAGCGCTGTTTAAGTGTAGGGGAGTTGTTTAAAGCGCGGTGCAGGGGGCGGTGTGTACACGGGACCGTGCGGCCTGTGTACGCGTGCAGACGGGACATGGACGCGTGGACTCTGCTGCTGGGCGCCGCAGCGCTCTTCTGCTGCTTCTGCGCCCTGCGCGCGTGGCGCTCGCTTCGCGAGGCGCGCGCACACGCGAGGGCGCTCTCTGCGTTCCCGGGACCCGGCCGCCACTGGCTCTACGGGAACGTGCACTGCGTGAGTTGGCGCGTCCCGCCCGCCACGCGAGGGAAGGAAACTCGTTTCGCCACGTTCCCTTTACCAATGTGTATCGGGCGTGACACGGTGTGGTGAGACTCGTGCCTTACAATCAAAGGGTGCCTGGGTCTCGATTCCTGACTCGGGTGCTTTTCTCTGTGAAGTTTGCAATGTTCTCCCGCTCTTCTGCATGTGGTTCCTCGGGGTTGTAACTGATATATATGCCAAACATTTCAATGGTGAAAAATGTACGTGCAAATCGCTCGATCAGGATTACACACGCAGCAGCAGCAACTCCCGACTGTGTAAACTTGTCAGGACCCTCCTGAACCAGAGCCTTGAGACTCGGTGACGCTTCCTGAGCTTACGAAGCTTAATAAGCGACTGCTCGACTTCGGGCTATGCTGCTGCTGCTGTCCGTACAATATTCGGCTGAGCGCAGTAATATACAGCAACACCTCGATATGCGTATATTCGATGAACGAAGCTTCGGTATAACGAACTTGGGATTTATAACCATTGCTTTAATCAGAACGCTACAACAAAATAACACAGAAAACATGGGCATTTATTATTTATTTATATGTACATCTACACTGCTATATAAATAACACAATTTTAATATGATATTGATTCTTGAAGGTTGCGCATAGCGATGTTTATTTTATTTACGTCAGTTTTAATTATAAAACTATACAGTATAAAATATATTATTATTTTAAATAGAAATGGTCTTTACAATATGAAAGCTAACTTATGAAGTATTTATCGTATGAAATAGTAAGTTATGAAGGCAGGGAGCGCACCATCATAGTACTAATGTCATTAGTTATTCATTATACGAAGTTTAAATAAACGGAGCTCCAGGAAAGCATCTACTTTGTGTAACGACGTATTTCTATAACAGCAGACTAGCATTGCCCGTGCATTTGCGCGGGATATAGCTTCAGTGAGTTGCAAGCGATCTGGCTTCCTTGCCATTCGTTTCCCAATGACACTCGTTCGCCTACCTGCAATCTCAACATCAACAGAAACAATATTTTGACATAGCAACACAATTAAAAATAAAGTAGCAGATCAACACGAATGTAGTGGATATTTTGTGAGGCAGACACTCAACTTGGAGGCAACAGCAGCACGCCCGGCCGCCTTTGTCTCCCCAGTGGCGATGTTGACACCACAGCAGTTACTCGTTTGAGGCTGAGTCGACCTAGGGGAGGCCCAGGACCGGTTAAAATAATCGTCACCGGTGGTGGCCGGGAGCGGGAATCGAACTCGGGTGGCCGGGTTCGTAGCGTGGCACGCTAACCACTACACTACAATGTGTTACACTACAATGTGTTACACTACAATGTGTTACACTACAATGTGTTACACTACAATGTGTTACACTACAATGTGTTACACTACAATGTGTTACACTACAATGTGTTACACTACAATGTGTTACACTACAATGTGTTACACTACAATGTGTTACACTACAATGTGTTACACTACAATGTGTTACACTACAATGTGTTACACTACAATGTGTTACACTACAATGTGTTACACTACAATGTGTTACACTACAATGTGTTACACTACAATGTGTTACACTACAATGTGTTACACTACAATGTGTTACACTACAATGTGTTACACTACAATGTGTTACACTACAATGTGTTACACTACAATGTGTTACACCACAATGTGTTACACCACAATGTGTTACACCACAATGTGTTACACCACAATGTGTTACACTACAATGCGTTACCCTTCCACATGCGAGGGTCACGTGACAGATTTAACGTCAGCTCACTTGCCGTGCAAAAAAATATTTTCATTATTGAGCTCCCCCCTAAAAAAAGTGTATTTTTTCTAATTTTTGCATGGTGTAGAATCTGGAAAGTACCCACTTGGCACATTTCCAGTTTGTTGCATGTCGGGAAGTACGCTATACATTTTGAACAGACACACATTCACAACTTTGCCTTTTATATATGGAGATAACCAACTGGAACATTATACACAGGGTGGTGACCACCGTTCCTAATCTCACTAACACTCGGGGAATACTACACAGCGTGACCCGGGCAGGTGACGGGCTTCCTGGTCACAGACGAAGGTCGGAGACTCCCAAGATCGTTGATGGCGTCTTCTTCCCGGGGTTGAACATCCCAGCTCCCTGTTCACACCCATTTACAACTGCTGCGGCGTGGCCGGCTCCGCCCCAGGCCACGCCCCTCTTCCCAACCCCGTGACCCCAAAGCTCCCCCTAACCCCCCTTTATCGGGTCACGAGTCCTGTTGGGTTCACACAGTGTCACGGCCTGACACGACCCCCATGACACCCGCCTACAGCACCCATCCCGAGCCAACACCGTAGTGACGTCATATGTCCCTACGCTCGTACAGTCCCCACACAGTAGTGACGTCGTATGCACGACACAAACCGATTTACATATTAACAACAACAGCCTGGCGGTGGTCCCGCACACCTGCGATCCAGAACTGAGGAGGCGAGGGTTGGGTAGATCAGACAAATGACGAATGCTATAAAACTCCCTTGCCCATGTGCATCGAAGTTGCTATACCCTGGCTTGCCAGCAGAATGCATTACAGTAAAGTGGAGGAATATATTAAAGTAACACCTTGGATTGTGAGCATAATTCGCTCCGGAAACGGGTTTGTAATCCAAAGCACTCGTATATCAGTTGTGATAACGTGACGCTCGGCAGACAAAGTGTATACGTACTAGTATTGCAAGACCTCGCTCGTTTATCAAATTAATATTTATTTAAACATTTTGCTCGTCCTGCAAAACACTCAGACCAAGTTACTCGCAATCCAAGGTTTTACTGTATTCCAAACACGGAGAATGGCTTTAAAAATATATAATCTGTAGATGTAGATGTCACTGGTTATTCAGTGGCATCTACATTCACGTTCTGCAGACGTAGATTCCACCACCGCCATCTATTACGCGACTCTTGGTCCGAACAGGCAACTGAACGTACGTACACGATTGTTCGTATCCCTGAAAGTTTGTAAGTCGAGCGTTCGTAAGTAGAGTCTCTGTACATAAAGAACTGCCGAGCAATAATTGGTGCTGGCTCATCGCCTGCCAGCCTTCAGCTCATCTGTTGATCCCCAGCGGTTGTAAGATACAATGTGCATGAACGATGCCGTATTAAACTAATTAGATTTTTTAAATATTAAATTAACATCAACAATAATGACGTATCAACAACATCAATGACAACATGGCATCACAATAATGTTAATATCATTAACACCACTTGTATAAATATTAGCAACAGCTTCACAACTATTTAACGACCACAACTGTAGCCACAATATGACCACAACCAGAATGACGACAACCTCAACCACATTAAAACCACAACCATAACAGACCCATTATTACCACAATCATAACAGGCATATTGTAACCACAACCATACCAGACACATAACAGATGCATGTTATTATCTGCTCAGCTTTTGTGTGTACCAACCACTCATTGTTGCAGTTAATAGTAACTCAGAAAGTAACAAAAATTTGCTCAATGCTTAATTTATACATTAACCCCAAGTTTCTTACACGATGAGCTATATCATGGGACATTTTTGCCAATGACAAAGTATGAAAAATAAGAATAGGTTTTACCCTTTCTGGCAATAAAGCAGGAGGTGTTAAGATGTTCAAACACCAAATAGATACCTTTTGCAAGAAATCAAGTCTGCAACCTTGGGCGCTCTTGATAACAGTATGTTGCGTATTTATAAATGTACTTGAAGCTGTTCTGATGGTGCGTTTTGTGCTTTGTTCAGGCATTAAATGTCTAGCATGCTTCATGTCGTATGTTCCAGCGCGGCGAGACGTGTTCATGATTGACACTGTACTATATACGCTGACGGGTGTTTATGTTCGGGAAATGTTTGTAGTTCCCCAACGATGAAAGGGCGCTGCAGAATGAGCTTAAGTTCTCCAAGGAGTATTCATTCGCCACACCGCTGTGGTTCGGACCAACAGTAGGCTACCTGTCCATGACGCATCCGGACTACGCCCGAGCAGTGCTCACAACCAGCGGTAATTGCTACACTGCACCAAAAGGCAATTGAGACCAAACGCGCATCTCTGATAAGCTTGCAGCAGATATAAAAGTACGCACGAGAACAAAGTAGGTGCACAGTTCGAGTCATGTACCACATGTGTACTATTCATGATAGTGATTTGAAAAATATGCTGATATGGGCAGACATGAACCGTATCGCGTTCAACGCACTCTCAGAGTCATAGTGATTTCTTTCTCAAACGAGCAACGTTTACAGACATGAGCCAGTGGATGACATTCACAGTTCTGATGCATTTAATAACTATATACTACAGAGTGTATTCCAGTGCATTTAATATACATGATACACTCTTTGGTTCTTTCGGTAAAGTCACGTAGAAAGTAAAAAATGAATTAAATAATAGCCGGAATGTTCCATACTGATATAGTAGTATGTAACATTCAGTTTGCATGTATTACACATAAAAAAACTACAGAACATTCTAGTGCTGCGAGTACCCCACTACTCGTGCATGTTTTACGTAATACTTGGAATTACACAGCCACGAGCTCGAGGGAGGAACACGTGGCCCAGGCAAGACACAATTTGAGACGCCGCATTGGTCTTAACATTGAAATGCATTTACCTGAAACCACTCGTTATTACTTTTCAAAAGATTTAATTTAACAAAGAGTTACTCGTTTTTTCTTATTAATTGTTCAACTTGTAAAGCAACATACTCTGATTTGTTCATATTACCCATGGTGTCAATTGCAGAACCAAAAGACGATGTTGCATATGAATTCCTTATCCCATGGATTGGTAAGTGGAGAATTTGCAAAATGTGCACAAACCTGAGATTGCTGTTTCATACCCTGGGGGGTACCACGACCCGCACAGCAAAGCGAGTCGCTCGTCTCGTCATGCACCCGGATCGACTGGATGGCCACGTAGCAGGGCGGCAGGTTGACACAAAGTAACGCTTGTGCCTCACCGCAATGAGGTTTCCGAGTTCGATTCCCGACCCAGGTTCCTTTCTGTGTGGAGTTTGCATGTTCTCCCCCTGTTCTGCATGAGTTTCCTCCAGGTTCTAAAAAAAAACACGCAACATAACTGGCATTAGCCAAACATCCCTGTGCTGAATATTTTACCTGCAAATTATTCAATTGGGAATGCCGATAGCAACATCGCATCCTACTGTAAAAGAAAATAACCTGGCAGGACCCTCGTGAAATAAAGTATTGATGCTCATTGAGGCTTTCCTGTGTAAACACATGTAGCAGCACTAATGCTAACATCCAAATGGATGGACTTTTTGTTGAGCTACACCGGGTGTTTTGTTCTTATTCTTCTAGTGTATGGCAGGTACGTGTAACTTATATGTCCAGGTTTAAATTTGTGAACCGTGAGATAGCTTCGGAAGTTGCGTGACTGATACTGTCCAGTCTGCCGGGCTGTTATGTTGTGGTGCTTCGGTGAGAGTGCTTGATCTACATTTGGAGATTCTGATTCAAGGTCGACTCCCTCATGTCAACCCTTCGTAGTCAATACAATGTGTTCCCATTATGGGCAGTGAAGAGTGGCTTTTCTGTGTAGTAGGGTTTAAAAAAAACCTCCATCTCAATTTCCACCGCTCTCAATCAATTTGTATTTTGCTATGGCATACGGATTAGAAACATGGTATTTAACAAATAAATCAAACAAAAACTGATAAGTTTGCAAAGACGCGTGGAGAGATGCATGCATGGAATTGTATTGACACAAAGAGCGCACATATTAGACAATACGCTTGCTAAGAAAGTATCTGGGCTTGTGCAGGAAACGTCACGGCCAGAAGGATGATGGCTGACAGGAATAATGATGGGAGTGGCATCGAAGGAATGCAACTCGTCCAAAGTACATCATCCAAATAGATGAAGCGCTTATGTGAAGATGCCACATGGATTGATTTAGTGAGATATGGCAATGGCTTTTTGAAACCTTCAGCCAGTCATGGATTTATTATGCCTGATGATCATCTCCAGGCCATCACTGGAAATCAGTGCTGCGACTGCTGTCCTATTGCTCTGAGCTATGTAGATGACATTGGTCTGCTCAACGGCTTCATGTAGGGAGGATATTTCTTTAAGAATTACTCAAGGCGATGTGCAATGTTTCTTTTTCAGGAAATGGCTTGCTTGTGTTATCTGGACCCAAGTGGTTTAGAAACCGGCGACTTCTGACTCCTGGGTTTCACTATGAAATCCTCAAACCATACATTGCCATCATTGGTCAAAGCACTGCATCAATGCTGGTGAGTAAAGTTAACTTGCCAGTTTTCATAATGAAGTTAACAATGTCTCCACTAACCCATCCCCGGTCCTCATGCTTGGCGCCGTTTCAAATGAAACGTCAACTACAACTGCTAAATTTGCCTGTGATTATTGTTCTCCGACTTACCAGTCAGTTTAAGGAATAGTAATTGTACAGGTGACACGGCACAAACTGGGTCAGATAATTACATAGTGTCCTAACCCAAAAACACAACTATGAATTGTTACAAGGGGCCATGGTCTGAAATTGTGGGGGCCCACATCTGGTAGAACGTATCTTCTTTTGTATTGCTTATGTAGATGCAGAAGCAACAACTACAATTTTACATTAAGATGGTCAAACTAGATAATCGCATCAAGAGCAGCGGAGTGTATCGCCATGATGTCTCCTTTATATTTGTGGATCGAGCATTGCGGCGTTACACTTTGTACGGTCTGTTCTTGATGACCACAGTCGCAGACTACTGGAGAGTTTTTACTTTTCCATTTTTGCATCAGGTATCCGCATCTGCTACGGTTTGTGTGGATGCGGTTTCGGGTGGACCATGGTACAGCAAGCAAAGGCAGAGGAGGTCCTAGTAGACGGTGTAGAGTGATCTCGTCTTGTCAAAAGCCACAAACCATGCCACGAGCTCTGATAACCAATTCCTTTGCCAGCTCAGATATTGTCCAGATTAATGAGGTCCTGTGCAGCAGCCCACTCAGGCGCATCAGTGGCTGTCAAAAAGTGGGCTGTCACACCCAGTCTCCCCAGCTGAGCAAACCGTTTCATATCATTGGTACTCAAACGGGATATGCTTGGAATTAGGGTCCAAAAATGGGATAGGGCAAGGAAACCTGCCAAGCAGGTGTAGTGTACTAATTCACAGACACTAGTAGGAGGTACTCTCTTTTATTCTGGGCTTCACAGCCTGAGGGGATAACTGCATACCCGGGTCGGGACAGCCAACATGCTACCAGACTCACAGCTTGAAGAGGGTGAAGATCATGACAACGACAAGTTCTATTCCAGGTCACAGCTGCCCCAACTGTGAGTCGGAGCTTTCCTTTTATCCTGCCCAGCATGGCCATGCTCCACCCACAGCCCCATACCCCTCTGGGGATCCAGACGAGCTGTCAGCTGCAGGTTACTTTCGGTGGGACTCGATACCCGCCCTTCGGCAGTGACGGTGGAATCGCCCGTTCACTGCCCCCGATTCGCAGCCCCCTCCACCGGCTCTTCCTTACCCAGCTGTGCTATCAGCGCGGTCACCATGGAGAGCAGCTGCACGATGCACGCTCTGAGTGCCCACAGCCCTTCTCCCGCCGGCTGCAGTGTGGGATTGTCATCCTTGACCCGCTGCCCCACCGGGACCGCCACTCCGGGACCCCCCGCCGGGGTTTCGACTGCCGGGGCTGCCTGAGAACCCTCATCACATGCCGATGAGAGCGTTCCTCTTCACGAACTTCGCCATAGCCTATACCCCCTCAAGGATTCAAAAGGAAAGAACAAAAAAAAGAAAATTCCTAAATTCGTTAACACTCCTGACACCAAATGTAGTGTACTAATTCACAGATGCTTGTAGGAGATACTCTCTCTCTTTTATTCTGGCCTTCACAGCCTTAGGGGATAACTCTATACCCGGGTCGGGACAGCCAACATGCTGCCAGACCCACAGTTTGAAGAGGGCAAAGATCACGATGACAACGGCACGACAAGTTCCATTCCAGATCGCAGCCGCCCCGACTATGAGTCGGAGCTCGCCTTTTATCCTGCCCAGCATGGCCAGGCTCCGCCCTCGGCCCCGCACCCCTCTGGATCCCCCAGAGGGCTCCGTGCCTTGCCCACAGGTCCAACTGGTAGAACAGGCTGCTACCCCTAATTCCATTGTCTATCAATCTCCCAGCGGCACGCGCTACAGTGACTCATTCTATGTCACTACGCAGGTGAGCATTCTGGATGTTGCATTGACATGTTTAACGTGACTGTGTGGAACAAGAGGGGTGCGTTAGAGGTGGACACACCTTTGTAGTGCGCACAAGGATGAGAGGCAACAGGTAGGATTATGTTGTTGAAAACAATCGAAATTACGAAGTTTTGCTCCTGGATGAGTAGATTGTGTTATATAAAGTTTAGGGTATTTTACATTTCCAACAGCTGAAGCCCAAGTACCAGCTGAGGCTGCTGAATAATGTAAATTAAAAGGTTTTACCCATCCCTTCAATGTGTTCAGACACCAAATAGACACCTTTTGCAAGGAGTCCAGTTTCTATTAACCACACATGCTTGTGGTAAAACATGCAAACACACGTGCTTTGATAATTAATGTATTCATGTCTTTGAAACGGATTGGCCTACACTAGAGACGGCGTCCTCTATGGCCTTGTCTCACTACCAGTGTTAGAGCAGAAATATCAGCAATAATGGTCCAGTAGAAATGTGAAAGAGCAGTTCTCGAATAAACTGCAGTGAGGCAATGATATAATATTCTATTTTATTTTCTCAAATTCAATCGATGTTGAGTAAAAACACTCGATATGTGCTGCACGCACTCACCATGCATACGATTAAAAGATTCGTCTCGTTTGCAGGATAAATGGGAGAGGCTAACAGAGAAGCAACCGACTTTAGAGGTTTTTGGTGACATTTCTCTGCTCATGCTTGACAGCATCCTCAAGTGTGCGTTCAGCTATGAGGGCAATTGCCAAATAGAAACGTGAGTCTCGCACGGCAGTACAAATTCAACGTCACTGTATGTAAATTTGGCCTCCTGAAGACGGTTCGTTGTGCACATTTTTATCAATAACTCACAGGCTCACGACAGCATCGCCATCCTGCTCCTGAGCATCATCATTATCACCACCACCAGGAGCAGCGGTAGACAGTGATGGGAAAAAGAACGACAACACTTCCTCAGCTTGATTGCCTTCCTCCCCCCTGCCTGGCTTCTCGTGTCGCTGTGCACAGCAGCAGCTGAGCCAATCACCCAGCAACACCCCCTGGGTGATGCGTGTCCTGTCGCCAGTCAGCATTAGTGCCGGATTATCCCAGTAGCAAAAGTAGCTACATACGCTACGGGCCCACACTTTCAAGGGCCCTGCGCTAAATGCTTTCAAGCTATCCATTTTGGTTCGGTGATTCTGCACTTGCTCTATTACTATAGTACTAATCTGCCTTTAACTTTTATAAACGACTGGGTGTTTAAGGTTAGCGATTTATTGTATTATCTGGCTATATAGCAAATGAAAAATTACAATTACTTTACTTTGCAAGGTAAATACCCTGTTTTGCATGGGTTTCCTCCGGCATATCATCGAAACAAAAATTAAGCACGGGCACGTGTGTACAACTAGTTTGTTTCATCAAACCTATGTGTGTATTAACATAATACATGTTTTAATGATTGAGAACCAAGGCTGCAGTAAAGATTAAAAACCACTGTCCGAGATTGTAGTCCCCATCCCTAGCTGAAAGTAAAACACTGATTAACGCTGAGTCGGTGAGAATCCGATGAGTGACGTAAGGCATGCATTAATGTCTGTTCTTTAATGCAGTGGCTACTTAATGCAGACCGCGTTTAATGAGCATTCCTCTTCTCACGACATCCTGTCGTCTGTCGTTGCAGGGGCAATTCGTATGTGCGAGCTGTGTATGAATTGACGGATTTGGTTCACCGTCGCTTCCGAAATTTTGCGTTGCATAACAAGTGGGTGTATTACCTCACCCCAGCTGGACGGCGCTTTCAAAAAGCCAAAGCACATGCACATAAGCACACAGGTAAACGCGCCAACATCCCCTCGTGGGTACACACGTACACATCGAAAATATCACGTCATGACAAGCACAGGACACACGTGGGGTGTGTTTTGGGGTGTTATCAATCGCATGATTGCCGTGATCATTTCCATTCAGAACGTTCGAAGCGACTCCGAGAACGATTTCTGGAACGTCTAAGGAGAACTAAACTGACCTACAGCCTGCATCGCGTGTACAGTCCGTGTGTGTGTGTGTTGTGTCACATGGGGAGCGGTAGTGTAGCAGTTAGCGCACTGAGCAACGAACCCAACGACTCGAGTTTGATTTTCCCGCTCACGGCCAACACCAGTAACAATTATCTAAACTGGTCCTGGGCATCCCCTAGGTCAACTCAGCTACAAATTAGAACCTGGTGCATTGTGTAAATAATCCCACTCGGGCGACAAAGGTCGGGTTTGGTGCTGGCTACCCACCGCTCGTGTGCCCCAGTGCCGGTCTTCATGGGTGTTCACGAACAACACTTGCCACAACAGTCTAAGGCTATACGGGGGATGTTTGTCTTTGTTGTGTCACAAGTGTGTGTTGTGTCACACGTGCCATGTGCCACGCATATTCAGAGGACGTGATCAGACGGAGAAGAGAGATGCTGAAGTTGGAGGCTCAGCAGCACAAGATGCAGCAGAAACGGAACCTGGATTTCCTCGACATTTTGCTGAGTGCCCGTGTGAGTACAACATAGGGATCGCACAAGACACACCCTGCCCGTAAATTTGCCCTCATTCTGCCCATGTTTTGTTTCATTCCTTTGCTACATGCTCACCCAGCGAGTCTCAAGACTCGTTTTCCCTGCCAGCAGAGGGCCAATGTTGCGATGTGTATTGTTATTTGAGTAATTTGAAGGTCATTTAGCATTGTGATGTGTGTTTTTTTTCGTTCCTTATAGAGTTTAGCGCAGGAATCTTTAAACATGTCCACCAGGTGTTCATGGCAGGTGAAAGTAAACTGTGCACAGGGATCAATAGGCAATGACGTGTGACGACAAGATGAATTTGCCCCAATTTGTTGAAGATGACATCATCTGTACCGATGTTTGTGCTGCCGTACCTTTGTCTCCACCCTTACCAGGACGCGGACGGGCAGAGCCTATCGAATGAAGAGATTCGCGCGGAGGTCGACACCTTCATGTTTGAAGGCCACGATACGACGGCGAGCGGCCTCTCCTGGGTCCTGCATGCACTCGCGAGCAACCCGCACCACCAGGAGATGTGCCGCAACGAGGCGGCCCGCGTGCTGGCCGGGCGCTCGCAGCCAGAGTGGTGAGGCAGAGCAAGGGGGGGGGGAGGGGTGGAAATGGGTAGGACGAGAAGGATGGGGAGGGGGAGGATGGGGAGGGCGAAGGGGAAGATGCATAAGAAAACCTTGAGCGTTAAATACAATGTGCATTCTTTGTTCGTCAGCCTGCATACCTTGTGGACCGCTGTTTTCCAGCAACATTTTTTTTGGTGTGTCTGTCGCTTCTCGTGCGTCCGCACAGGGATGACATCTCGAACCTGCCCTACACCACCATGGTCATCAAGGAGTCTCTGCGTCTCTACCCGCCGGTGCCGGGCATCAGCCGCAAACTCACGCAGCCGCTCAAACTGCCACACGGACACGTTCTCCCAGCTGGTAGGTTGCACGCCTTCGTGGGTTGCAGGGCGGCGGTGCCTGGGTCTGATTCCTGACTCGGGTGCCTTTCTGTTTGGAGATTTTGTACGTTCGCCCCCTGTTCTGCACAGGATTCTACCGTAGGTTCTCCGGTTTCCTCCCATCTTACCTATGAAAGTAATTTTTTGTCTGTCTGTCCGTCCATCTGTCTGGCCGTCTGTCCATCTGTTCGTCTGTCTGTGGACGCACACTTGCGAAGAATATGGCTCGCAAACCGTGAGGTTTACTTATTAAAAAAGTAGCCAGGTACCACGCCGTAAGCCCCGTGGTGAACCAGCTCTAGTCCGTTTTACCATACGTCAACTTTAAAGTAGTTAAATAAACAATTTGCTGCTATTTTATTACTTAATTATTTCCTCGCGCAGCGCTAAAGCTGACCGGGGGTTGCCCCTAGCAACGCACACGCGTCATCGGTGAAGGTGGGGGGGATTTCACATTCGCGTTCAAAATGCAAAAAAAATACACACAACGCTGAGGTAAATTCATCAAAGTGTCACGTCCTCTTCTCCCCTCCACCCCAATGTGTGCACTTACTACTCTAGGGTTGGTTGATACTAATATTATAGCGCTTAGGTAGTATTATTGTAGCACGAGTGGGGGGATGGTGGGGGGGGGGGGGTGGGGGGGGGGGGGGGTAGCAGCCCAGCCCCCAGCCTGCCAAGGTGCCGCCTCGGCCAGCTAGGCAATCTTGGCGAGGCCGGGGACTCTGCACGGGACTAGGCCTCACCATAGCACTCTGTCAGGTTAGTAGTTTGTGCTATAGAGTCGATATATACTGCTATAGATTCAGCATGTACTACTGTATTGATATCAGGTACCACCACAGTCAGTATGTACTGCTGTAATGATTGCAGGTACCACCACAGTCAGTATGCACTGCTCTGCTATAATCATAACAGGAACCTCCACAGTCAGTATGCACTGCTGTTATCATAGCAGATACCACCACAGTCAGTATGCACTGCTGTTGTGAAAGCAGGTGCCACCAGAGTATGCACTACTGTAATCATAGCAGGTACCACCACAGTCAGTATGCACTGCTGTAATCATAGCAGGTACCACCACAGTCAGTATGCACTGCTGTAGTGAAAGCAGGTACCACCACAGTCGGTATGCACTGCTGTAGTGATAGCAGGCACCACCAAAGTCGGTATGCACTACTGTAGTGAAATCAGGTACCACCAAAGTCGGTATGCACTGCTGTAGTGATAGCAGGAACCACCACAATTGGTATGCAATGCTGTAGTTCAAGCAGGCCACACCACAGTCAGTATGCACTGCTGTAGTGATAGCAGGCACCACTAAAGTCGGTATGCACGACTGTAGTGAAAGCAGGTACCACCAAAGTCGGTATGCACTGCTGGAGTGATAGCAGGAACCACCACATTTGGTATGCAATGCTGTAGTTAAAGCAGGCCACACCACAGTCAGTATGCACTGCTGTAGTGAAAACAAGGACCCACCAAAGTAGCTAATGCGCTGCTGTAGTCATAGCAGGTACCACCACAGTCTGTATGCACTGCTGTAGTGAAATCATTCACCACCACAGTCGGTATGCACTGCTGTAGTGAAAGCAGGTTCCACCACAGTCGGTATGCACTGCTGTAGTGATAGATACCACCACAGTCGGTATGCACTGCTGTAGTGATAGCAGGTAACACCACAGTTGTTATGCACTGCTGTGGTGATAGCAGGTCACACCACAGTCGGTATGCACTGCTGTAGTGAAGCCAAGTACCACCAAAGTCGGTATGCACTGATGCAGTGATAGCAGGAACCACCACAGTCAGAATGCAATGCTGTACTTACAGCAGGTACCACCACATTCAGTTTGCACTGCTGTAATTGTAGCAAGTACCACCACAGTCGGTATGCACTACTGGAGTGATAGTAGGAACCACCACAGTCGGTATGCACTGCTGTAGTGAAAGCTGGTGGCTTCAAGCATTGTGGTTAATGCAGAAAAAATGAGTGAGCATCTACATCATGGGACCTCCTTTGCCAGTACCAAAATATAATAATAGGTTTTTCCCCTTTGATCTGGCAACAAAACAGGTGTTAAGATGTTCAAACACCAAACTGAAACCTTTTACAAGGAATCATGTCTGCATTAACCACAATGCTTGAAGCCATCCATATATATAGACACAGACACAATTTCAACCGAGAAGGTTACAAACTGAGCAATAATTGGAAGGACATTTCATATTCTTAGCTCTTTCGGTAAAGTCACGTTGAAGGGAAACAATGAAATAATAAAATATATATAAAACAATAAAAAAAATTCTCACGACGTTTTGACCATAACACAAACGGTCATCATCAGGTGTGTCGGTTTCGCATTAATTTATTTATTTTTAAACGGTGTGCTTATTTATTTATAAATAACGTCAGCGCCACGCGCAGCAATTTGGCAGTTTATTTTCAAGGACTAGTCCATCTATGTTCTGAAATGAGGAGGGGGGAGTCGAAAAATTAATGTATGTTGTCTGAAGGCCACTATAAGCATGAACAATCAATTAAGACCTGAAATGGTTTATCAAATAATTCCAATGATTGCTAAGCCAGAATCCATCTTCTCGGTTGAAATTGTCTCTGTGCTTGTATATGTGGATAGCCTCATGAACGAATCTCTCATGGTAGCCAGATGGCTTACAAAGAACCTCTGTCTTGGAAAAGTCAATGTCATGTGAGCCTACTGAATTATAACAATGATCTGCCACGGCCGAGGTGTTGGTCCTACCGTGTTTAAGGTCTGCTTTGTGTTCACGAATGCGGTCCGAGACATGGCGTTTGGTTTCTCCAATGTAACTACTACCACAGAGGCAACTTAGTTTGTAGACACCAGGGTACTGTATGTCCGGAATCACATCTTTTACAGATGGAACCAGATCACGGATTTTATGTAATGTATTAAAACGGACCTGGATCTTGTGTTTAGTCAAGAATTTGGAGATCTTTTTTGTGATCCCCGCAATGTAGGGTAAAGTGATGGTTTTTAAAGGCTCCTCAAGAGGGTCCTTCTTCATGGTTTGAGTGATAGCTTTGCGGATTGTATAGTCGGAGTAACCATTAGCCTTAAGAGCTTGGTGTACGTGCTTGAGTTCACTGCCTATGTGTTCCTGGTCGGATATGCATTGGGCTCTATGATACAGAGTCTTGATGAGATAATTCTTCTGTGATGGATGGTGGTGGGAATCCGGTTTCAGATAAGCATCCGTATGGGTAGCTTTCCTGTAGACAGAGTGGCTCATTGAACCATCAGCTCTCTTTTTAATCAGGACATCCAAAAAAGGTAGCTTGCCATCTTTTTCGACTTCCATGGTAAATCTGATGGCTGGGTGTATGGAAGTGATGTGGTCGAAGAATTGGTCTAGAGCAGGCCGGCCATGTGGCCAGATGACAAAAGTGTCATCCACGTACCTCTTCCATAAGGTTGGGCGCAGAGTGGCAGTCTGGATGGCGTCAGTCTCAAATTTCTCCATGAAAATGTCAGCACATAGGCAGTGAACTCAAGCACGTACACCAAGCTCTTAAGGCTAATGGTTACTCTGACTATACAATCCGCAAAGCTATCACTCAAACCATGAAGAAGGACCCTCTTGAGGAGCCTTTAAAAAAAACCCATCACTTTACCCTACATTGCGGGGATCACAAAAAAAAAGATCTCCAAAATCTTGAATAAACTCAAGATCCAGGTCCGTTTCAACACATTGCATAAAATCCGTGATCTGGTTCCATCTGTAAAAATGTGATTCCGGACATACAGTACCCTGGTGTCTACAAACTAAGTTGCCTCTGTGGTAGTAGTTACATTGGAGAAACCAAACGCCATGTCTCGGACCGCATTCGTGAACACAAAGCAGACCTTAAACACGGTAGGACCAACACCTTGGCCATGGCAGATCATTGTTATAATTCAGTAGGCTCACATGACATTGACTTTTCCAAGACAGAGGTTCTTTGTAAGCCATCTGGCTACCATGAGAGATTCGTTCATGAGGCTATCCACATAAACAAGCACAGAGACAATTTCAACCGAGAAGATGGATTATGGCTTAGCAATCATTGGAAAGATTTGATAAACCATTTCAGGTCTTAATTGATTGTTCACGCTTACAGTGGCTTTCAGACAGCATACATTAATTTTTCGACACCCCCCTCCTCTTTTCAGAACATAGATGGACTAGTCCTTCAAAATAAACTGCCAAATCGCTGTGCGTGGCGCTGACGTTATTTATAAATGAACACACCATTTAAAAATAAATAAACTAATGCAAACCGACACACCTGATGACGACCGTTTGTGTTATGGTCGAAACGTCGTGAGAATTTTTTATTGTTTATATATATTTTATTATTTTATTGTTTCCCTTCAACGTGACTTTACCGAAAGAGCTAAGAATATGAATTACTGCAGTCACGAAAGCTTTAAATCAAAATTTGGAAGGACATTAACCAGTTTAAGTCATAACTGGTTGTGATGTTCCCATCCTACCACCTTCCGATGTTAGTTGTTATTTTCGGCTCTCTGATTTTTTACATTAACAGATTAAATTTCTCACTAACACAGCTACCTCGCACGCCATCCTCGAGGCTGCTGCTTCACGATCTTCCATAACATGCTAATCTCTTACATTATCATAGCCACCTTGGCACGCTCGCCAGGGAGGATGCTCGGCGATCTCCCATTAACATGCTAATCTCTCACATTAACATAGCCACCTGGTGCCCTCGCCGTGGAGGATGCTCGGCGATCTTGCATTTTTGCCTGGCAGTCCTTTGATTGGTGAAAAGCCCACCACTGCCGCGGTCGCTGCCCATCACTTGCATTGGCATTCGCTGCTGACATTTGGGCTATGCCCATTTCAAACCTTTATAAGCCGTTGTCTTTAGAAGCTAACCCCCCTTTTCCTGATGACGACCGCTTGTCATGCAATCGAAACGTCTTAGTTTTTTGT